TTACAATGTATGGGTGTGTACCTCGACCTGAAATGATGTATTTATGTTGAAATTATCGTGTGAGGTTGAAATATTAGTACAAGTGATAGTTTTTGTGTTGTTTATGTGTTTGCTGAGCCAAAATGAATAATTATGGTGAATTATAGATGCCTCTTGAATTCATTATGAAATTAGGGTTTTGATAGTTAATTTATGTATAAATTGTTATTGATGTGTTATAATTAGTCTATAAGGTGATTTGTGGTCCTTTTGAGTCGGTTCAAGTGTTTCTAAGACTATTGGAACTAGGTTATAGATTTTGAATACCTTTATGTGTGTTTTGAACTAAAATGGATCAATTTAGGTTTGGGTGTCCAATTTTTAAGCGGTTGAGTATGAAACCAGTGTCAATAGCTAGAGGATCTAAAGAGAGACATGTGGACACTTGAATCACTCAAATCAAATATCGGATGGGACTTTTTTTGAAAATTTTCTAGATTTGTCCCTTGTTGCAATTAAGTGATGATTTTGGTTTTTATGCTTCTGCTACTTTATTTAATTTGTTTTAAACCATGGTTTAAGTTTAAATATTATTTTAAAATAATTTTTTTAGATCCCAATCTTTTAAACAAATCCTTGTGTTGTAATAATTTTATTTAGGAGATTTTATTATTCCTGATTATTACAATGGTGTGTTTAGAGTATTGTTTCGATGATGTCAAGATGAACATTACATTGGCCTCATGCTCTTGGGTAGCAAGGTTCTCCTAGCTGGGATCTTGATTGATCTCTTTTTTGTTTTCTTATTAGTGTGTTTATTTATGTATTTTTACCGAGTGTGTCATCAAATTGTGACACGTGAGTGTAAGTTGGTCATTAAAAAAAAATATTAAGAGGATGTGAAGTGAATGTGAGTATTGGTAGAGATTCACGTCAAACATTATACTTCATCATATGGTGTACTTGGTCAATTTTTTTAATTAAAAAATAAGGTTAATAATCATTTTTATCTCCAAACTATATACAAAAAGTCACAAATACTCATAAACTCAACTATGCATCAATTATGTTTCTCAACTTTAAAGATTTCTTTTGTCATTATCCTGACATTAAAAACACTCAATGTTTGTTAGTTATCAGTAAGTTCCATTATTTTTTAAATACTTTTTATCAAGTTAGGGATCATTTTTGCCCCTTAACTCAAATATTTTATAATAAAAAAAATGTAATATGAGGCTCACTAATGATAAACTGACAATAAGACAATGGCAGGGTGATGAAGGAGAGAATCTTTAACATTGAGGGATAAAATTGACTTATAGTTGAGTTTAAAGATATTTGTAACCTTTCATATACAGTTCAAGGATAAAAATAACCTTTAATTCAAGAAAATATCATCTGAGTATATGTAATTTACCAAATCATATGGTATACTTGATCATTTTTTTTAATTAAAAAAATACTGAATCAAGAGATTCCTTTTCGCTAGGGAAGAATTGATAGTGGTTGAGGAGAGGTTAGGATATGTTTCTCGTTGATTGACAAAGATAAGATTGTTCAAGTAATAAAACACGTATAACGAGAGTCAACCTTTAAATAAAGTTAGGCCAAATATGGCCTGCCCACATCGATTAATTGATTTGATTGTTTTTTGGGTAACGTTTCAGTTGGCTATACTCGACAAGTGAAAGCAAAATTTACCTTTGTAAAGGCTCGGAGGAGGCATTTATTGGCAATCGGTGGATAAGAAACTATTTGGACAACAGTATTACGATGTTTCCCATGATTATTTGAAGTTAGGAAACAAAAATAACTACAAATACAGTTATACAAACTCCCATTGCACCATTGGAGGTAACAAGTTACAAAGTGCTCCAATCAAAATGAAGATTAAAAATATTTATTAATCACCATCATTAGATTCCCATTTAATTGAATTTTCTTTTCTTTTATACCACAATTGCTTCATTAGTGGACCAGGGATGAAGAAGATTTGACCATTAACCTTTGCTTTTATATGTTCGTCCCTTTTTTTATATTAAAAAAATCCATCTTTGACAGTCTGGTATCTAGCTAGTTGTGAATCATAGTCAAATGATTTTGAACGATTGGTTATCCTCATTTATGATATGAGCATTATAATGTTAATAAAGTTGACGTCTTTTATAAAGGAAGTTATGGAATTTTTATCTTGTTTTGTGCATAAAATATGGTTGATGAACATGCGCTTTTTTTTAAAAAATTTAAATAGATACCATTCATCAATCAAGGTTTCAAGTAATATATGAAAGAAGATCGCCTCTTATTATCATTTACCACCTTCCAACAGTAAGGTAGGGATGGATCAAAAGACATAAAAGACTTTAATAAATTAGAACCATTAGTGGCTAATAAATAAGTAGACACTTTTACCTCTCTAAACATAAAAGACAACAAAACATGACTATTATTATACAAAAGAACCTTAGCATAGTAAATGATATCTCTAAAGGGATGATTTGCTAACTTTGAGTGGACAAGGAGATTCACTACTTCCACACAATCATTGAACACATCAACACATTGAATCCCATTTTGTGAGCAAAGTTTCAATCCTTGGGTCATAGCAATTATTTCAATTATAGCACGAGAAGAATTTCCTACATTTGTTAAATTTAAAAGCTCAATCGGTTTCATTATTTCTAACTACACCACTACATCTTAAAACTCCCTCTCTAAACAAACCATCAATATAAAGCCTCATAACATCATCCTCTCATCTTGACCAATGGCTATTCTTTCTTCTGGCATCATGAAACATACTCGACGATAAAATTAACTTCATATCATTTTAAACTCTTTAAATAATATCCAAAGTTAGTTTTACTTTTTCCTCATCATCATGTGAAAAAAGTTTCACACATCTAAAACACCATAAATCCCAGCAAACATACCCAAAAAGGATGTCCCAAGGTAAATGGTTGGACCTCTCATTTCTAGCATCATACTTCAAATTTACCCAATCTGCTCCCTCTAGCCCCTTGAATGCACTCCGCTCCTGTGTTATAACCAAAGTCTTCCATTGCTCCTCCGCTCTTAGGCAATCTCTTAGAAAATGCATTGTATCTTCTTTTTGGTTATTAGTGTGTTTGGATAAGGGAAAAAATCGATTTTCCCCCTCCAAAATCGATTTTTTCAACAAATTGTCCAAACAGCCAAAATAAGACAAAAATCGATTCTCGCATGTTATGCGCGTTTTCTCGTAAGCTGATGGAATCAGCTTTTGCCAAAAGTTAATCAAAAAACGTTGGAGAAAATTACAAAAGAAAGCCCACGAGCAAATTACATATAAAGCACATAATTTAATAAAAATAAAATTAAACTCTTTTCTCTTCTCTCTTTTTTTTTTCCTTAATTAAATTCAAATTTTATATCCTCAAAAAATTAATTTTTTATATTTAAAAATTAAATTATATAGTAATTTATATAACTAAAATTGATTCTGATTAAATTATCCAAACATTTTTAATTCTGTTAAAATCAATTTTAAAAAAATAGTATCCAAACAGATTGCGTCATAACATAATCAATTATAATTAAAATCTATCACTTAATCAATTATTTTCATAATCTATTATACCTAACTGAAATCCAAACGGACCCTATAACCCCACAGACAGTAGCAGAATCCCGAAGACATCTCTAGGATGAACACGCGCATTTTATGCAGGTTTATTCAATGATAAATTTAATAATTATAAACGATATGATACAGCTATAGCATCTGTGAAGACTGATAATAGTCAGCAAATATTTAAGCAAGTCTATATAACTTCTATAATTCAATGTGTTTTTGAATACTTTGGGTTTTTAAGATCGTTTCCAATGCATTTTCAAAGAGTTGCGCAATCGTACGTTTTCTTTTGTGTGAAAATGATATGGCTCTTCCAGAGAACTGACCATATTTTATGCTTGAAATGATTGGGCCTTGAAGTTGCATGCTTGGTGACACAGAAAAATTGAGAATACGTCACGGCTTTCATCACTGAATGATGAAGCCAGTCAATAAGAGAAGAAAGAAACAGAACAATTGTTACTTTTTTCTAATTACATTTTAAAGAAACAGAACAATGCTTGGGATGGGACTGCTGCCTTAGTGCCTTATTAGGGCAGCCTTACATGGTCCTCGTTAATTGCTAAACTGTTTTACCAAAAATAAGGGTGCAGTTTGGAGGATCAAGTTATCTAATTTCTATCCAGCTTAAAGCCTCAGATTACACATATTTTTTTGTTTTTAATTTTATCCATACTTTGTCTCTCCGCTAGTTTATAGTTCAATTTCCTCTCTCCTCGTCAATTTTTTTATCTTCAGTCGTTTACTTTTTTTTTTGTTTTTGTTTTTTTTAACTGTCCCTCTAATATTTTATTCCACGAATTTCAAAACCTCATATTTAAAAATAATTACATAAGCAGTTGGAGTTTTATTGTGGTGAGATTTGAGTCATCCAAAACTGATTTTAAAAATATAAGATTATTTTATTTTTAAATATTATTTTTTAATAAAAATATAAGATTATTTTATTTTTTAACATTTTTTTTATTAAAGCGACATTTATAGGATTATTTTTATTTTTTTAAAATATTACCTATATTTCAATAAAAATAATTGTATATGTTTTGCGGTATTGTTATTAAAAATCAATACATCAAAATAAAAACTAGTATGGCGCAATACACACAGTATATACAAAAGTTTTTTGAGGTAGATGCTATCAATCATTTATAGAAGAAATAACCAGTAATTGAAACTGCTAATGTTTTTTTTGGTAGAAACGGCTCATGCGTTAGAACAGGCACGAAGTAATTGTAAAATAATTCCATAAGAGCCCATCAATTATAGGAAGCCCATACATGATATAGGCTATTAGGGCCCATGTCTTTCAGGAGCGGGGACATTCATGGGTCCGCATATCTGCATATTTGCTATTTCCGTGTAGGGGGAAGATGAGGAGCGAAGACTTTATTAAAAAAAAAAAAAAAAAGGCGAGGAGAGAAGAGTACAAGTTTTCCTGGTTTACTCCGTCGTCTCGTGCCCACTGTTGTCTATAGTCCACGCGAGATTTGAATTGGAGATTTGAATTTCAAAGTAACGCATCCAATTTCATGGTGGATTTCCCATCATCTTCAAAAGCAAAAGGCGCTCAACGGGCTCCGTCAAAGTCCTCCAATGGTCCTACGCTCGCTTCCTTCTTCCTTTATATGCCAAGCACTCTCGCTCTCCCACTGAAAAGCTTCCTTTCAACCCCTAACACATGGAAAATTCTGAACCCCTCCCGACCAAATCCACAGGGATTCCCATTCACGGAGGCAAATACGTGAGATTCAACATTCTTGGCAATCCTTTCGAGATCTATGCTAAGTACGCGCCTCCTATACAGCCCGTCGGACGCGGCGCTTACGGCATCGTTTGGTATCACTTCTCTCCCTTTCCACTGTCCACGAATCATCATACTTCATCTCATCCATCGGGGGTTATAGCTCAATTTGTCTATCTGTTGATCTTTCTGATTGTCGGTGCAGCTGCGCGATGAATTCTGAGACTAAGGAGGAGGTTGCGATTAAGAAGATAGGTAGTGCATTCGACAACAGGATCGACGCCAAGAGGACACTTCGTGAAATTAAGCTTCTCTGTCATATGGATCATGATAATGTACGGCTCTTTTACTTTCTGATTGTACTTGCTTTCCTTTTCCATGTCATATCATGCAACTACGACAGCATGTGCTTGATTTCTCTGCCTCTGTATACGAGACTCTTGGTTGCAATATCTGTTGGGAAAAAAATGCGTTGATTGTCGTTGGACTTTGTAGGCTATGCCTTGTACATAACTCTCTTCAATGGTATCCTGCAGATAATTAAAATTAAGGACATCATACGGCCGCCAGAGAGGCAAAAGTTTAATGATGTTTATGTTGTGTATGAATTGATGGATACTGACCTCCATCAGATAATTCGCTCTCCTCAGGATCTCACAGATGAGCATTGTCAAGTGAGTATCTTGAAATCTTGCAATATAATTTTCTGTGTATAAAGTTGGGATGATGGATTATTAGCGTTATTTTTTCCCATCAATTAAATCACTGATTTTGAACTTGGAGACTCGGTTTGTAAACAGAACATTATAAAAGACCAAAGCTTAAGCTGAATGTTAAATGTCATTGCAGTATTTCCTATATCAGCTGTTGAGAGGATTGAAGTACATACACTCTGCAAATGTGTTGCACCGAGATTTAAAACCAAGCAACTTACTCCTCAACGCAAACTGTGATCTCAAGATCTGCGACTTTGGGTTAGCCAGAACTACCTCCGAGACAGACTTTATGACAGAATATGTCGTGACTCGTTGGTATAGGGCCCCTGAATTGCTACTTAATTGCTCAGAATATACTGCAGCTATTGATATATGGTCCGTTGGTTGCATTTTGATGGAGATAATTGGAAGGGAGCCTCTATTTCCCGGCAAAGACTATGTTCAGCAGTTGATGCTTATAACCGAGGTATTTCTCTTCTCCCCATTGATAATTTGAATTCTTAATATTTTTATTTTTATTTTTTTTGGGGTAGACAATAGGAGTGCTAGTAATTAGTAAGCGAAGCTTCCGAATGAGTAAAATATTGTTGAACATAATCCTCATAGTTATCTTCATCAAACAGCTTCTAGGTTCTCCAGATGAGTCAGACCTTGGATTCTTGCGAAGCGATAATGCAAAGAAATATGTTAAACAGCTCCCACGTGTAGAAAAGCAACCCTTTGCATCCAGGTTTCCTGATGTCTCGCCGTTGGCAATTGATCTTGCGGAGAAAATGCTGGCTTTCGATCCGTCCAAACGCATAAGCGGTATGCCTCTTTATGTTTGATAATCCTTTCTATCATTCGTTCATCTCCCTGAAATTTATTTTATGCCTGGCCAGTGGAAGCAGCATTGAATCACCCGTATTTGTCAAGTCTTCATGAGATCAACGAGGAGCCCATTTGCCCGACTCCTTTCATCTTTGACTTCGAGCAGACGACTTTAAGCGAAGACGATATAAAGGATCTCATATGGAGGGAGTCTCTTAACTTTCATCCGGATGAGCTGGTGGTCTAGTCTCGGCAAATCGGTCCTTTTCTCTTGGTGTTTGGTTTATAAAATTTCATATACGAGTTTGGAACTGTGGAAAAATGGTGAATGTGATGTCGTAATCTGTATGGTGAGAGTGAAGAGGGAGATAGGTTCACCCGCAAGGGGCGAAGGGCAAGTCTCTTTATCTTTTCTTTTTACCCCCTCTTTAATTTTGAGATTTTATGAGATTACTTCTCTCATTTATAAGTCACATTTTAAAAAATTAATTTAATTTTATTTATAAATTATGATACATCTTTTTAAGTAATATTTGAAAGGTGTTTTTAAAATTATTTTTTATGGGAAAAAGAAAGTAATATGGCATTACTTTTAAATTTGTTATATAAGAATATATTTAAAATTCTATATACTTTTATTTCTTATACTTATTTCATATTGATATTGATGAATTTAATAAAAATAATTTATAAAAAAAATTGAAGGAGTAATTTGGTTGATTGTCTTACATAAACGAGGATTGTATATTGTCTTACATAAACGAGGATTGTATGCCCCACAAGCCCTAGGTTATGGCTTCTCATTGTAGAAAGTAATGCAGCAACGCCTAAGCCACAATATGGTGGTTTTTCTGTTTGGTGATCATAGTGGCAGTTTTGTCTTGCTTGTTTGTCTCTATCCGTTGACTTTTTTTGAATAAAAAAAATTAGATTTCCGTTTCGTACATAAATCTAGAGGGTGGAAGTTATTGGGTATTGATTTTCTTTTTCGCTTGCCCCTTTTTCGAGTCCTTTGACATGTACAATTGACTGAAACGAATGAAAAATAATAAATGTACGGGTAACAAGGAATATACCCCTTATAAAAAATATCATACAAATAGCTGCTATTAGTGACAATAACAAAAATATTCTCTTAATTTTTTTATAAATTATTTTTACCGATATCATTAATACCAATATAAAAAGATATAAGGAATAAAAATATGTAGAATTTTAAATATACCTTTATATAATAAATTTAAAAAGTGATGTTATATTATTTTATCTATCTCATAAAGAGTAATTTTAAAAATATTTTTTAACTAATACCTAAAAAGGCACACTGATAGGATCAAATGAACCTTTTAAAATATAACTTATAAATGAAATCAGAAGGTGTGCATGATAATTATCTATATTTAATATTAATAAATATATAATCAATGGTAAATCATCCAATCTATAAATTATAATAGTATAACTCATTTTTCATATTTAAAAATACATAAAATTAGGGCTGTGTAAAAATCTTCTGGTTCTGTTTGACCTAGTCCAATCTGAGATGATCTTGTTTTATCAGGTCCTTATAAACATTGGTCCTTTAAGACAAAAAAGACTAAAAAGATCAGACTATTTTTTTGAATTGGATTAAACAGAAGACTGGGTATCTGAACCACTTGGTCCAGTCCAGTTCTATTAATTTATTTAATATAATTATAATTATATTAATTTATTTTTGACAAATATTTTAAGTGTAATTTACACTAAGGAGATGATTGCTAAAGATTTGTTAAGTTTGTTTTTAAATTATTGTTGTAATGTAGTCTTGTTGAAATTTGTTGAATGTTATTTTTGGTTAAGTTATAAGTTTAAATCATTTTGATTGTAATTAAAATATATTTTTTTATTAAAAATTATTTTGAACTTATTATGATTATAAGTGATCTTATTATCTTAATTGAGTTTATTAGGTTGAAATAGATTATTGTCTCTCATAGAGAAAAAAGTAAAAAAAGAAAAAAACTGAGTAAGTACTAAACTAACAAGATCAGTATCTCAATCCTATGCACCAAATCTGATCCTGTCAATTTTCTGATTATCACTAGACAGGACCGAATTACAAATTTCCTAACCCAATCCTTTTCATAAAAAAGACCAGACTTTAAATTAGGGCGAAGTTCAATGCCATCCAATCCTTTGTGCAGCCTTATATAAAATATTTCTAGTTTTTATATACACTTAGTTTTATGAAGTTATGAGCAAGAGTATCGCCTTTGGCAATTCTAAGGATGTACCGTCCTTGGGGGTCATCTTATTTATTTGGGGGGTGGGGGAACCAACAAGTACTCTTTGATCCAGTTCTGACTCTTGTGCAACGCCGCTCTACACAGTTGTAACTTGTAAACATCAAAGCAATGCCGCCGCCCGCCGGCTTCAAAGTTTTCACGTTAATAGTGACAAAGTAAAAGTTGACACTCTCAACTGACAAATCAACATCACGTAAAAGTTATATAATCTGCCATAGTAGAAATTTAGCCGAAATTGCCAACAAGAAGGACGATTTATTACCTTTCAACTTTCCAAGCAGATAAAGAAAACATTACTGTCAGAGGATTTGCCTGCATCTTCCGTCACTAGGGTAAATCTTTTTTAACATCATTACAGGCTAGGGATGCATCAAGGATGTAGTCGTGAGCGTTTCAATTAAACTCAGGTCGATGCTCGTCAGTGTTAGTTGCCCGTCCACGAAATTCTCTCAATGCAATGTCCATTTGTTGACTGCTTTACCAATCAAATTAGCTTGACCACTATGCTTAACTGGTACGATGCAACTTCACTAGAGAGTGGAGACGTCACTCCCAACTCATACTATAATTGCCAGATGACAAACTGAATTTCTTTCCCCAAGGCTTACCTAATATCAAGTCTCAACAAACTCTTGAATCCTATTTAAATGTTTAAAATATGATCACTTGTTTAGGTTGACTCCCGAGTTTGCCAAGGGCCTTATCCAATGCTGTCTTGAAATTGTCAAAGGGAACCAGTTCCATCCTGCAACGAGGGCGAACAATATATCAAATTGATCCGTTGACACAATGAGGAACTAGAAGCCAACAGTTCATGAAAAGAAATAATAAAATCCAAGAGCTAATTGTTAATTTACAATTTGAATTTGGTAGGCAGAAGACATACTCATATTTCAACTTCCCATCTTGCACAAGACCCAAAAGCCTGTCTATCATTTTTCTGCTCTCTCCAGCTTTATCAGTCGTCATCCACTTCTGCAACCAGAATCCCCTCAAGGAAAGATCCTGCATATAGGTAGTTTTAAACTTCGGTTACAGATTATAAGCCAGAGCAAAATTCTAGTCTATCAAAGCAGACAGGCACGTAATGTCGAGAATGCTTAGGCAAAAATAAGCTATGACATAAATGACTTCAAGTACGAGGTCCTAAAAAGCAATTTGTCTTGTTTCATTTCTTAATTAGACATAACATTTGGTTATTTAGTCAATTAAGAAACCAAGAGGAGTTTGTCGATGCTTTCAGATCCAATTTAACCCAATCATGCAGATCCAAGGGCATACTGATTTCTATATTTCATAACGCTGTGGACAACTCTGAGCATGTTTGAGGACTAAGTAATTCATGAACCAACCAGGTTGGGAAATCCACGTTAACTAACCTGGACAACTTCACTAATATGAAGTATCATCGACAGCCTAAGCTGTACAATCAATCATATTGTATAATTACTATCACTAGACGTCATCACATTAATGTTTTACCTTAACAACATTTTGTTTCTCCTTGATTTCAAGCACCTCCTTGCGGAACGAGCAAAGCTCCTTGACAAGCTATTTGACTTGCAATTTTAACATGACTAGACTGACATAATGCCCACAGTTGATTTATCTTTTATGCTTGACCTCATTCATCATAAACATAAGTAATCAAACAGAATGTAGAAAATGGGTGGAAGTTATTAATTAACCTTAAATATGAAGGACGAAGTTGACACTGTGATAGGCTTTTTAGACATTCCACCGTATGTCACCATCATTCCTCCTTGTCTGCATGGCATCAAATGACTTACATTCAAGAAACAATACTTATTTTAACAACGCGAGAGAGTTGCAACTCTTTAACCAACTTTCCATATCATACCTCAAAAATTTGAGAACCAGGGAAGCAGAATTACCGCCGATGCAGTTAAATCCCAATGAAGGTTCGGGTATAGCACCCTATCATGTCACAGGCCAAAAAGAAAATCGCCCTATCATATCAATGGAATGTAAAGTAAACTATTTGACATTCATAAAGGAATTCATTCTATGAAGAAATTTTATAAGCAACAGCCAGTAAAAATAATATTTGTGCGATGCCTTAATGGGAGGGCAAATAGCTGAAAGGGAAGGAGGGTGGTAAACAATTTGTCTATACTTGATGCATGATTTAACACGACATCAGTTTCCAGCCACTCCTATCATTTTCACTCTTACAAACCACATACTGAGTCTAAGGAATGCCAGCACAAATGGCAGAGGTAGAAATAAATTCAGACTACTCTTCCACATGCTTGCTTCTGAGATGGAGGAAAAAAATATAACCACCACAACTACTATCAACATTCAACTGAATAAGTTAACATTTATTCACAGGATAAGAAGCTATAAACCAAATCAGCAATGATATGTAAAGACTCAAAAGATACCAAAAGACTCTTGACGTTCTTCACTTCCAGCTGGCTCTCGGTATAAACTTCATCAGCTCCCAATTTCTTGAGTTTTTCCTTTACTTCATCAATCCCTGCCCTGCAGAGAAATGATTAGGAGGGCAAGAATAAGACTCATAATAATGATAATAAAATTTACACATAATAAGCTTGGATCTAAGTGTTTTACTTAAGCTTCGACAAACAATGACTAAAAGCTCATAAAATCTACAACGAGCCATGAAATCAGTACCTATCCCTTACTATATTGATATTGTGAATACCACGAGATTGGGCAATCTGAATGACGCACTTCCCAACCATGCTTGTGGCCCCATTTTGCACAATAGAATCTCCTGTTGATACCCATGATACAAAGTTCAAGCAAGCATCAATTACTCAACTCCATACTGAAAATTTACTGAATGTGTAGCAAATTGCAGTACCTGAATTCAAAGTAATGTAATCTTCAACCATCCTCAGGGCGGTCAGAGGATTGACAGTGATTGTAGCAGCATATTCTATAGGTACATCCTTATTTATTTTATGCCACACATTCTGATCTTTGACAATGTATGTTTGCCAAGTCCCTGTGCCAGAGGTAAATCAAATAACTTTTGATGAGATCAGAGAACCAAAGGGTTCAATTTGATGGTTCTATCTTCCAATTAGAGAAGAAAATATAATTTTATTGTCTTGACATATGATATGCATTTTGAACCTATTATGTGCGGATGGATTGAAAATATTTGACCCGGGCATCTTTTTAAGATTGCCAATACGCAGTCTTCTAAGCTGCTTAGCTCATATCTCGGAAATAAAGCAATAGGCTTTCAATCATTCTCCTGCAACCGGTTGCAACATAATTCAAGTTATAGGAACCGGGACTAGCAGCGCTCGGTGCATTTATCTTCAATTCTGTGACCTCAGCGCAATTTTGAAAGGATAAAAGCTTAAACTCGTGTAAGACGCATACTAGCAGGCACAGTCAGTAAAAGAAACGATACTGATTCATAAAAAGGTTTAATCAATGGATTTTGGAATTATATCCACTAATCAAATGTGAAATATCAAATGGTGAAACCAGCAAGAGGGGCGCACCAAAAGAGGGTGGAGAAGGAATAACCCAATCACCGGGAGATAGAGCTGTAACTGCAGGGCCCACTGAATGCACCTCTCCAATGCCTTCATACCCACCAATAGCTGGGAGTGGCGGTCTCACAGGATACACACCTTCAAGTATACATCATATAATTACAAATTTTTCGACTCGATGAATAAACCCTAAAACCAACAATCATTATCGAAAGAAAAATAAAGTAAAATTAGTAAGCATTAGCAAACCTTCTATCCTATTGATATCCGAGGGATTGATAGGAGCAGCAAGCATCTTGACGCACACATCATTCTCTTTGATTTCAATGGGCGGAAGGTCTATCAACTTGGTGACTGTGTCAGGTGATCCGTGAAGCTCGTATACAGCAGCCTTGGACGGAGGCGATACGGCGGACGACAATGCTCGCATTCGTAGGGATTGGGCACCGTGGACTAACCTCCGTGTCAAGCTGAAGAGCGAAGGTGATTCTTTTCCAGCTTTCACACCCGCCGATCGCAACCATGCCATCACTCTCTGCGACTGTCTATGTTTTTCTTTTTTTGATAAAAAAAAAAAGATATTCAGATTTATCGTAATTCTTCTGTGCGTTCCTTTGGGCTTCAGTTTTCACAGGAAGGAAACTTGTATGCAGAGAATTGAGAAGAAAGAAGGCACGAAGGGCCTGTCCTGTGATTTTCTCCCTCAGGATTCTTCCGGACGGATACTCAAACAAATAGTGAAATAAAATAAAATCATTTTCTTGCTAAAATTATAAATACTTTCTTGAACCACAATACAAATAATTCTTAACTAATTTAAAAAATTAGTTAAAATCTTAATTTAAAAAAAATTTACAGCATTCTAATCGTGTTTTTGAGTACAGTAAATATAAATATAATATTTGACTTATTCAAAACAACCTCATTAATTATTTAATAAAGTAAGAGTGTAATTGAAAAATATATATACTCTCTTCCTTAAAAAATTTAAAACATTTTTAACCAAATTTTACCTCCAATAAAGTAATTATTTGTCTTTAAATTAATTTTATTTTTTTATATTTATTCCTATTTAATGGGGTGTTTTACCCTAAAATAAATATAAAATTATTTGTTCAATAAGAGCACTTTAAAAAAAAAGTAATGATTATACTTTAAAAGACTAAAAATATTTTATATTTTTTAACATTTAAATTTTTAAAAATGTCTTACATTTATGAATAGAGAGAGTGTAACATTTACCCAATATTTTATATTTTGTTCAGGTGTTGAATCTAAATGCATGTGCTTCTCCTAAAGGTTTCAAATATTAGTTCCTCACATTGTGAAGGACTATATGTTTTCACTAGACTTAATCATTAAAGTTGAGAATAAAAGTCAAGCTTAAAAGGCTACCCATTGAAACCCATTTTAATAAAGGTTAGGACTTAAAAAAAATGTTTTATGGTAGTTGAGCTTTAGAGCTCAGCCCTTATAATTCTTAAAAAAAGGGTTTGGGCTCGTCCGGCCCATTTTACTTTTTTTTTTAACAATTCCTCAAAATGCATTTTCTAAAATTTGAACCCCAAAGAAAATCTCAATACCCTAAGTCATTCTCTCAACTTGAGACTTCTCTCACTCAATTGCCCGACTCTCCTTCCTTCCCTCACTCATCTGACTCTCCTCCTCTCAATTGCTCGATTATGTTTTCTCACTCTTGCTAGCATTATCCTGTGGTCTCCTCCCTCTTCTCGAACTAGAGTCTTGTGTTTGTCAGTGGTCGCTCCTCTCATATCAGTGTTACATCATGCCATCACAATTCTCTCCTCCCTCCTCTTAACCTAGTATTTTGAGTGATCTTAGTAGCACCACCTCTCATTCTTGGCCTCTCGATCTCAGCAGCATCACGGAGCTATAGCCTCTCAATCTCTACAGCCTTGCCTCAAATTCTTAAATCTTGACTCCTCTCGGCTTTAGCATTTAGGCTTGTCTCCTCTATCTTGATCTGCTTTTAGTAATATGGTCTTGGTTTATTTTGGTTGTCCTTCAATCTTGTGTTCATGTAATTTTATTTCTAGTCCTGGTTGTCTAATTGTTGTGATTCCTAGTTTTTGATCCCAATTGTCCTTTAAATGTGATTTTATTGCTTTGTTATTTTGATCATGTGATTTATGCTTGTTTGTAGTATGTCACCGTCTAATGCCAAGCCTAATGAAACTAATACGAAGAAGTCAATTAAAGGGGACAGCAATAAAGAATCAACTCCTACCTAATTTATTGCATTTACCTCAGATGCTTGGAAGTCTTTTTAATGAAGAGAGGGCAACAAAGGCAAAGTGTAATGGTTGTGGCACTTTATTAGCGTGTGGTAGAAATTATGGCACATCACATCTAAATCATCATATCACGCAGTGTGCAACTCTTCTAAAGTTCCGTAAGGCTTGATGATGTTAGATAATTAAGGTTATGTTAGATCTAGATAAATTAATAATTCGTGTATATAGGAGTTGTTAGGGATGTTGATTATTGAATATGTTTTGTCATATTCCTTTGTTAAATTTCCTATTTTTAGGCAGGTGCTTAAGGAATGTAATCCTCACGTTAAGATTATAAGTAGAAAAGTTGTTGTGTTAGGTGTTAGGAGATTATATGAGCTATAAAAGGAGAAGTTGAAAGTGATTTTTTTTTCAAAGAATCATAGTAAAATATGCTTGACCTCTGATTACTGGACTGTTGTAACATCTGGAGGCTATATTTGCTTAACATCACATTTTGTGGATGAAAATTGAAAACTTAATAATGGAATACTTTCTTTTTGTAAGATAGAGTATCCACATTTTAGATATGAATTTGCTACCAAAGTTTTTAAGAACTTATGTGAATGGGGGATTCAAAAGAAAATTTTCACAATTACTTTAGATAATGCATTTAAAGGAGAAATTTGACAAGTATTGGAGTAAATATAGTGTAATCATTTCTATTAGAAGTGTTTCTGATTCATGAGCAAAGCTTGAAGTGATCAAATATTTGTACTCACTTATTGATCATGTGAATGATTTCATGAAAGTTGATAATATCAAACAAAAGTTATATTATATGTTTGATCAATATAAAGAAATTGGTAGATCTTCTATTAATCTTACATCAAGTTCAACTCCAACAGAAAGTCAACTAAGCTCAAGCATTAGTCAAAAGATGATAAAGAAGAAGAGGGAACCAACTATGTCTTGGACTTAGGTGTGGAAATAGGTTAAGCTGAGTTAAGTTTTGGCCAAATAGATTTAAGTTTGTGTGGTAAGTCAGAGGTTTAAGCCTGATTTAAAACTTGTATAAAGCTTTTCTCATTACTTAGGCCTGACCTGAAAGCCTATGTAAAAGTATGTCTTTTAAATAAGTTGCATTTTAGTTTAAAATATTTCAAATATACTTTGGGACTATTAGCATAAATATATAATCAGATTTATTAATTACAATATATAATAATAAAAGACTTACCAACTATAATACAATACAATAATAAAGTAATAACATTAAAATTAATAAATAAGTCCAATCTGATTAAAAAAACAAATAAAAAACATAGATTGATTAAAAATCAATTGCGAAATTGATATGTGATATATTACAAAATATGTGTATGTAAATAGGTTGGCCTGTTAGGTTTGCAGACTAGGCTTTGAAAAACTTAACCTGACCTATTTAATTAAATATGCCTAATTAAAGGCTTGAAATTGACCTGAACCTAAAGTACTCTAAGGTGCAGGCTCATGATAGGGGTTGGTTTAGTTTCAGCCCTACTTGGACTCAAGCTTATGATATAAGTTTTTGTTTATCTAATGCACATTATGTCATTGGTGTTAGTTTATTAATTATAATTTTTTATTTGATACTTTTAGATTTTTTCTATATGTAGGATTTTCTTAATTTCAAGAGTAAAGATGTTTCTTCCATTGAGAAAACTAAATTAGATTGTTATTTGAAAGAAGCTTCCCTTAATAGTCACTAGTTTCCAAAGTTAAATGTGTTGTATTAGTGGAAGATTAATTAACAATTATTTCTTAACCTTTTAAGGATGGTATCAAATATTCTAAGTATTCCAATGACTATAATAGTTAGTGAATTGACTTTTAGCATAACCTTTTGTGTTCGTTACCGCCTCCTCCCATATAATGTGCAAGCATTGATTTTTATCTACAATTAGTGAAATGATTTTATGCCATTTTATGCTAATTTTTGTGTTTTGTTTTGTGATGTATGTGTGTGTAATAATGACATAATTTGATTAATATTTATTATATGTGATGAAGAAGTTGCAGAGATAATTAACATTAAACCTCCACCTCCATATTTAATAAGTGAATTTACATCTGAAAGTTCTAATATTTTATTTATTGATGATAAGAAGGAGGATTTTGATTTGGATTGATAAAGATTTTTGTCTTCATCTTATAAATTTAGACTTCTAAATCCTTTATTTATTTTCTAGAAGATGATGCAAGACCTTAATTTAATTTATGTAAAATTTTAGAATATGCTAATTAAATTATAATATTAAATTTTATTTTATTTTATTCCTTTTGCAATAAGGCTTACGTGCCTGGCCTTTAGTCTTTTGAATAAAAGTTGGGCCTCAAATTTTAGGCAAAATTTAAGTTACTAAGTTTTAGAGCTTGAGCTACCCATTTTCCATATCTACTAACCCCTATTAGTGGAATATAAATTTTGTTTGCAATTAACAACCATAATAAATTGTTATTTAGGAATTCAAACGACAATAAATAAAAAAGGATAAAATTAGGAAAAAAAATAATTACTCTAACTTTGTCTTATATTAAAAATTAAAAAAAATTAAATTTTGTCTCAGAATATATGTTACAATTTTTTTTTAAAAAAAATTTAATTAATTTGATAATATGGTACTCCTAACATTGTATATGGAAAGTGAGAGAGAGATGAGGCTATTTGTGTTAGTTATGCTTAGGCAACCTCATTTGTTGATTCCTACCCCAAGCGATTCCAGTCTTCTATTCTACCCACATCATCCATTATCTAGTCCCACGCTAGGGAGTGCTCCTCTTCATTACATTTAAGCTATTATTGGGGCAACTCCTCTTACACACCAACGTTCTTATTCATCCTTTCAAAGGGATCAAGGATGGCATGAGAGATTTCATGAGAGGTGATTTGATGAACACAATACAAGGAACGCTCTCTTTGTGTTCAACAACCTTTGAATGATGGTGGTGAGATTTTGGTCACGAAACCAGCCATATAGAAGCAACCATAGTAGCATTTGGGATTGAATTTGAATTCAGCAATGATTGCTACAACTACAAGGCTGTAAATGGAATCTAAGCCATTTTCTTAGTAATTGGGCCGATGTATTAACTTCAATTAAATGCAACTACCAAAGACCTACTCTTTCTTTTTCCATGCATTTATCTTTTTCCTTGAAGGAAAGTAGGGAAACAAAAACACAAACAAAAGACAAAAAATAGAAAAAAGAACTAAGGAGGATGAAGATACTCCAGAAAGTTTGGCATAGTCAGTGCTAAATGATAGATTCCAGGAGCCTTATTCAGACATCTTTTCACAAGAGAGTCAGCCTCTTAGTTCTCCTCACGATCAAATCAACGTAATCTACAAGCTAACTCTAGCTGAGCATCTCACGAACCTCCATAATGATACTTCGACATTCATGAAGCTCCATATCACCGCCTTT